ACATCTGTCGAACCACTGTCGCGATATAAACGTTTTAATCCCCGCTTTACGAATCGTAAAAACAATTCCTAAAATTGAATATATTTATTTTCGTGGTTAGTGACAATGCCGCTTTAATACATTGATAATATTGTCCTGGTGTTATTATCATCGTTACTAGAAACACTAAACTATGTTGAATATAGTATTGTCTTAGTCTTATTATCATCGTTTTAGAAACAGTATCTAGTAACATTCAAGTATAATGGTTGGTTGATTCTATACAATAATAACACTGTGATATATAGCTGGATTACGATTAAGTGTGTAAAGAATATGCTTGTTAAACATCAACACATTAAATCTGGCCATATATCAAATCAAATGCTATCTTTCAAACGCTTTACTTATTTCAACCACACCCCGCCCTCATCACCCGGCTGCTCAAACATCATCAGGGGGGGGGGGGGGGGTGGACGGCCGAATGGTTAGCACGTGCGCGCTGTATTATAAGGCCTGCCATTGAGCCAACTGGCTTGGTTTCGAACCCCCGGTTGTACGTGACAAGGAGTAGGGTCGCCTGTTCAACCTCGTCGGTTTTCTCCGGGTCCTCCGGTTTCCTCCCACTGCTAAAGACCCCTACGCGCAAGCGAATTATAGAGATAAAATTAAACCATATGTTAGTCCCGAAATGACCTAGTTTGTGTCGAGTGGACGCTCAACCCCATCTCTCTCTCTCTCTCTCTCTCTCTCTCTCTCTAACATCATCAAATATGTGTTCTGTCCTCACGACGACCAAAGTCGTGTGTTTTATTCAGTTTGTATAACCCCACCTTTCGGGGAATCTTTTTATACATAGGCGTATTCTATACCTTTCCCTTTCGGTCTCTGTATATACCCTGACCCCTTCCATAATTAACCGACGATTTAAGTGATATTTGTTTTTCCGTAGATTTAGTCAATACTAAACTAAGGGGCTTTTATTAGAAAATGGTTAAAGGTGCGACCACTTTAAAAAAATACTTTGTAACTTTGTCACAATTTTTTGGTGTATAGACTTGTTTCTCACGTGGGTATAGTATATCCAAAAATGTCATCTTTTATCCGAATATATGTGGCCGTCAGTACGAGTTATAATACAACAAGTGTCGTCTCATATTATTTACCATCTAGTCACAGTAAATCAACATCTACTATTGTAAAATACACATGTCAGAAAATACAGATTGAAAAGATGACCCCAACCCCCGTTCTTCTCTACTGATTCTTAAAAACCTATTTACTTTATTAAAAGATTTTTTCATTAAATAAAGATTTTGGCATAAATGAGACACTTTAAAGTGAAAATGACTGTAAAATCATAGAACGCTACATTCTGACGATTTTCAGATTCCATATTAGTTACAACCGTGTGACGCTAGATTCTCCATTAAGTCATAACATTATGACGTTAAAACCATATTACGCGCTATTCAATATGGCGTAAAAATCACACGACGTTATATCAACATGATGCTAAAATTTGACGACGCTATATCAGTATGACGTAAAAATCACACGACGTTATATCAACATGATGCTCAAATTTGACGAAGCTATATCAGTATGACGTAAAAATCACACGACGTTATATCAATATGGCGTATAAAAATCACATGACGTTGTATCAATATGATGTTACAATATCACACGACGTTAATTTATATTACGTTAAAATCACACGACTTTATATCAATATGACGTTAAAACCACACGACTTTATATCAATATGACACACGACTTTATATCAATATGACGTTAAAATCACACGACTTTATATCAATATGACGTTAAAATTATACAACTTTATATTCAATATAACGTAAAAATCACATGATGCCAAAAGACGTAAAAATCATGACTATATTGAATATTGAATATTACGTTGAAACCATACGGCGCCATATTTACACATGCATTATGCAAGAGCTAATCTGCCTATTGCAGTTCTTTCTTTAGGCCTTAAAATTATTAATTAGACATTAATTAACTTATCAAGACTATAATCAACTCTCGATGCCATCATTAGCCTGCGATATTTAGTGGATTTAAACACGTTTTGTCGTGGTTTTGTGATGGATGATTTCACGTAAAAGTGGATAATCGAGACTTTGTTTATTATCGAACCAACTGTAGTAATGACGATCGAGGCTAGCCTAAAATTGAATCTCTAATATCTCGGTTCAGAGTGCAGCAGTTTGACTGAAATTTTCAGCATATTCCGTTTTCATTATCTATTCTTTTAACTATTATAGCGAGAACTGCCAACTCTTTAACCAAATCTTACCCAATGCCCCTTTGACATGGTATAAGAATGGCATGACTATTTTGTATATGACGATAAAGTTATTTGAAGGTAACTTAATATAAGTAGGTTGTCGCGTAGCTAATTACAAAACGAAGTAGAGCAAAACGTTAAGCTCTTGGATTATTTCTATACATCAGTGAATACATACAATTATACCAGTTTAAACCTAGCTTAGACCTATAATTTGTTTATCTCAAGATTTTAATCTCTAGTTTAGCATTCCATGTCAAGTTTTTTTTAAAATATATTCTCTTTTAAGTCACGAATACTTCAAGCTAACTGAACTGCTTAATAACAGGCTATTTGCAAAATAGGAAATATTTTAAAGTTTTAGATTATGTTACAAACTGAGACTAGAAGTAAACCTTTACTTAAGGGAAAGCGAATACATCATATTAAATATACTAGAAACACGAATGTATTTATTGTTTAAGCGGTTCGGGTTAAAAATAAGTAAAGTGAGCCATTCCCGAGCACACCCACCCCTCCGTCTATAATTACCATTAACTAAACTCCATAAACCTGTTGCGCTCTATTGGTGAATTTAAACCATGGGGTCCTTTTCACAGCCTGACTTCATTAACCCTGTTGGAGGAGAAAAGTAGGACGTTAAACCCCATTTCATTTCATTTCTCTTAGAGTAAGGAACATCAAAGGGTAATGAATATGTGTAATTCTGTTTTTAGAGTAAATTGCTAGTTTTAATTTAAGAAGGAATGGCTAATAACTAAAATATCTACAAAATACAGAAACAAAAATCAGCTACCTCTTTTTTATTATCCTAGAACATATTTTACAACATACATGGCGCTCTAGAGATCATAACGTCTGTCATCCATCACAAATGTCGTGGTTTCTACCCAGGGCTCACGCTGTCAGTCGCCAAAGTCGCAATTTGCGATAAAAACATGAAAATGGCGATTAAAATTTGATTATGGCGATAATTTTGGCGAAAAAGTTTTAGGGTACTTGCGATTCTTTTTGAATCGTTAATATTCTAGTCGTATATATATATGTGATCTATGCCATAACTTGCCCGGGTTGTACGGAGCAATATATCGGTCAAACTGAATATTTGAGATCGCGAGTTGCTGTACACAAATCACAGATAAAAAATCCAGAATATCGCATGATATCCCTGAGCGAACATCTGGACATATGTGCACACAACTTTAATACAAAATTCCAAATATTCCCGTTTTACCAGCTCCTAAATGATTGCACAAAACAGAGAACAGTTAAAGAGGAATATTTCATTAAAAAATTTAGACCTCTGCTAAACAAATAAATTAGCTTAATTGATCTCCTATTGATAAGTAGCTAACTGAATAGTGTGTTATGTACATATTATATTTGTTTATTCATTCATCACTATTCATTCATTTATTCATTCATTCATGCAATGTAATGTACCTCTATTGTGACGTCACGAGGGTAACCTTGCAACGTTATTAGTATCAATGGCTTCCTGATGAAAATATATTGAAACATGTAGAAGCAAATCGGTGTTATTTTTATATTTTATACTATGATATATGATACTGTACATTAGAACAACAACTCACTACAGCTATATATATATATATATATATATACATATCCTGGATTGACAATTATATTGAGTGTCAATCACAATCACGGGGGGGGCGGCATACTATAAATTAATCACCTCACTGATAATCCGGATCGTGCCAATGAGTGCCAGGCTTGTATAAGACCCGGAGTAGGTTCAACGCCTTATCTCCTTGATTTTCTCTCGGTAACTACCGGCTTCCTTGTCCTTCCACTTCTAGAAGCCTATGTGCGGTTGTGAAATATTGAAATATAGATCTCGTAGCCCATATCGCTCATATCTATGTATATTATATATTTGATAAGAATATTTTTGTAATGTAGTCCTGGGGATGGAACTGAGTTCAGTTAAACATATATTTATTATATTTCATAAGAATATTTATTTTATGCAGGGATGGGATTGATAATGTGTGAAATTCTATATTTAAGTTATACATGCGGTTTAACATCTGTTATCTTTGAGTTATATCTGGAGTTTAACATATATCTGTTATATTTGAGTTATACATGGGGTTTAAATCTGTTATATTTGAGTTATACATGGAGTTGAACATATATCTGTTATATTTGAGTTCTACACGGAGTTAAACATTATATCTGAGTTATACATGGAGTTGAACATATATCTGTTATATTTGAGTTATACACGGAGTTAAACATTATATCTGAGTTATACATGGAGTTGAACATATATCTGTTATATTTGAGTTATACACGGAGTTTAACCTAGATCTGTAATATTTGAGTTATACACGGAATTTAACCTAGATCTGTTATATTTGAGTTATACATGGAGTTTAACATTTATTTGTTATATTTGAGTTATACACGGAGTTAAACTTTATATCTGAGTTATACATGGAGTTGAACATATATCTGTTATATTTGAGTTATACATGGAGTTTAACATATATTTGTTATATTTGAGTTATACATAGAGTTTAACATATATTTGTTATATTTGAGTTATACATGGAGTTTAACATCTGTTATATTTGAGTTATACACGGAGTTTAACAAATATCTTTTATATTTTAGTTATACATGGAGTAGATTTGAGTTATACATGGAGTTTAATTCTATGTTTGTTATATTTCAGACATGGGGTTAATAATGAGTACCGTCAACTATATATTTGGTGGAGGAGGAGGGGGACCAGAAATGGACATACCTGATAAAGTTACTGGTTTATCCAAGAGAGAGCAACTCGCCATTACATCTAGCTGGGATCTAATCAAGGTTAATGCAAAAGATAATGGCGTTGAACTATTTATTAGGTAAGAATTTTGTCATATTTCTATATGACCGAAGACCACGGAGGGATCGTTACAATCAGAAACGTGGCATAGGTCATTCACCTTTCTGGAACACCTGATACCACTTCTCGGGAACCGTGGTGGCAGTGAGAGAGAGAGAGAGAGAAATGGGGTTTAGCGTCCACTCGACACAAACGAGAGAGAGAGAGAGAGAGAGAGAGAGAGAGAGAGAGAGAGCACTTGACACAAACCAGGCCAATTCTGGACTAACATATTGTTCAATATTTTGAATAATTCGCTTGCGCGTACGGGTCTTTAGCAGTGGGAGGAAACTGGGGGACCCGGAGGAAACCCACGAGGTTGGACAGGCTGAGTGAGTAAGACATTGGTCACGTGTTACATACCTGTGTTGATCGAATAATTGATCGGGATTTTCCGGCGTGGGGTGATACCCCTTGTCAGTGGCAAGGGGCAACGCATAGTCATCATTAGCCCAGTAATTTCAGAACAGTGGACGTTAAACCCCATTTCATTTTTATGTTTATATCACTGATCATTTATTCAAATTGTTCGCAGAGCTAACGAATTTTTGTATTTGTATTCAAGTTAAATGTATTTATCATAAATCAACGATGAAAATGGTTGCATCTCATTTCACACAGCTATTGGGTTTTTTCGTCTCGGAATTTGAACGTTGATTTTGTTGATATGTAGCCGACATTTTGTTGAATAAAAACTAGGTAATGTATAAAACATGTTTGTGTATTGCATGAGCAGACGGCCTAATGGTGAAAACAATCTTCATCACACTTAAAACCACAAACATTGTAAGATCTACAAAAAAAAACCCACAAAAAAACAAAAAAAGCACACAAAAATAAGAAAATAAAACCCTGATTAAATCTAGTAAAAACACGAGTTAAAAAAGAATGAGGAGTGTTGTGATAGAAACAACAGACAATAATATATTCTTCTACTTTTATATCAAATAAATTATCTTTAACAAGGTAGACAATTGGTTACATTAACGCATTTACAAATTTTTATTAATGTTGGTTAAAGTAACACAATACAAATCGTCGCTCTTCTGGTGAACGGACGAATCTGATATATTTTTATTGAGAATTATGTGTTTAAAATTTGCATTCTGTTGTTATATCTGTGGACATCAAATAATAACATTCATTTGTGATTTAATATTTGATACATATACATCAGGACACCGAACGCAATACTTAAATATTTAAGATTTGTCGGTTCGCCAGAAACGCGACGAAATGTTAGTAAAGTTTGTTAAATTAACAGATTTATGATAGTTGGTTAAATTAGCACACCAAAGTTGGTTAAATTAGCACCCTTAAATTGGTTAAATTAGTCCACTAAAGTTGATTAAATTAACACAATTACAAATTTGAGTAAAGTTGGTTAAATTAACACATTTAATAAAGTTGGTTAATTTAACACACTAAAGTTGGTTAATTTAACACACTAAAAATGGTTAATTTGACACATCTACAAAAGTTGGTTAAATTAATTTAAACAGGTTGGTTAAATTGACACATTCTCTAAGTTAAAATGATGTACAATTCGTATTTAAATGTATTACGGGACAATTGTATAGGTGCTATGGAAACATGGGATAGATACCATCGGTTAACAGGACGTATATTTAATCAGATCGTAGACATAATAAGTTAACATATCTTACACATAATAAGTCGACAAATCATAGACACGACACAGACGTAACGCGTTAACATGTAGACATAATACATAAACATGCAGACACGACATAGACATAATACGTTAACATGTAGACACGACAGAGACATAACACGTTAACATGTAGACACGACACAAACATAATACGTTAACATGTAGACACTACATAGACATAACACGTTAACAAGTAGACGCGACAGAGACATAACACGTTAACAGGTAGACACGACATAGACATAACACGTTAACAGGTAGACACGACATAGACATAACACGTTAACAGGTAGACACGACATAGACATAACACGTTAACAGGTAGACAAGACATATACATAATACGTTAACATGTAGACACGACATAGACATAATACGTTAACATATCGTAGACATAATAAGTTATCATGTCTTAAACATAATACGTCTACAAATCATAGACACGACATAGACATAATATGTAGACACGACATAGACATAATACGTAAACATGTAGACACGACATAGACACGTTAACATGTAGACACGACATAAACATAATACGTTAACATAACGTAAATACATAACGGCAAGTCGTACACATAACGCCAATCTGTAGACATATGACCAAGTCGTAGACATTCCGATTTCCTCCCACTGCTAAAGACCCATACGCGCCAGCGAATTATTGAAAAAAATTAAACCATATGTTAGTCCCGAAATAACCTAGTTTGTGTCGAGTGGACGTTAAACCCCATCCCTCTCTCTCTCTCTCTCTCTCTCTCTCTCTCTGACGTTGATGTAAATTATAATTATAATGTAGATACTCTGTTCCGCCCAAAGAACAATGAAAGCTACACCTGGTGATTAGAACGTATTAATTGTAAAACAATCCGCGGTTTTATTTTTTTTATATCCCGATCAACCTCTATATTTGTTTACATTTTCTCTACAACGAAATCATTATACCACTAGTGGTAACCCTAAAAAAATTAACTTGACAACAGGAGAACAAGAAAAAAAAATGGTTAAAATGTTGATTAATTACAGCTTGGGTGAAGAATGATGTTTAATTCCGGGATAATGCACAACACATCTGTTTAAGATTGTGTGAACGTTCGTGTTTCAAATAATGAAATCTTTTACTCAGATGACCTTGTAGATATTTAGATTAGAATACATAAATGAAATACTTTTTAGCACGGACCTGGCTAATGAGAGAGAGAGAGAGAGAGAGAGAGAGAGAGAGAGAGAGATAGATGGGGTTTAACGTCCACTCGACACAAACTAGGTCATTTCGGGACTAACACATGGTTCAATTCTATTTCTATAATTCGCTTGCGCGTAGGGGTCTTTAGCAGTGGGAGGAAACCGGAGGACCCGGAGAAAACCAACGAGGTTGGACAGGCGACCCTACTCCTTGTCAACCTGGCTAATGAAGACGGGCATACGCCATGCAGTGTGCTATGGGGAGAATTTTGCCCGGACAGCGACTTTTCTGCCTACTCTTCATGGAATTCCAACTGTCAATGATTATTTCAAGCTGACGCGTACACGAAACATTGTTTTTGTCCCCATCCCATCTACTAGACACTGATCCTTGCCACGCCCTAAGACCTTGCACCACTGACAAGAGGAAGCCTCGTTGTAAACACGATAGGCCTACATGTGTTATTCAAGATGTGGTATACGGTGTTCGTGACGACCGTGGGGGAGGGGGGTAGAATCACATCAATAGAGCTGAATGCATATTTAGGTCAGTTGAAAAACTTGTGGTGGTTTGCAACCAGACATGGGGAATCTTGTTCATTTATTGGGTTATCCGCCCCTTTACGATTCCAGAAACTTCAAAATAAAGCAGCGCGGATCATAACCAAGACAGCTTCCATTCCGTCAACGTATTAATTTTGAAATACTGTCTATTACGTATTCTGCTCTAAATGACGATTCTTCAGCTCAATACCTTAGAGACCTCCTCAACACCAATAAACCTTACAGAACCCTTCGATCACAATCAGACAACCTCTTAATTAAGCCTTTTTCAAAAACCAACTCCGGGGATAAATCTTTCCCAGTCGGTGCTCCGAAGTTATGGAATTTAATATCAAACGAAACCAAAGCGTAAATTATATTAAAGGTTTTAAAAAGTATCCTTTTAATCAAATATACAACTGATTGAATACGGTTCTATTTCTGTTTGTGTCAGACTTTTACCCATGTTCATGAAGCAACGACTGCGAGTTTACAACTTCTGGACGTTGCTGGATTACTTCACAATTCCCGAACCTACAGCTATGTTATCTTCACAATTCCCGAACCTACAGCTATGTTATCTTCACAATTCCCAAACTTACAGCTATGTTATCTACAGACACGTGAGCAGTAGCGTCCAATCATAGGTTGTGACATCGCGTCCTCCATGGAAACCTTGACATTGAATGAACCTTGAACTTTGCAACTCGATTATCACAGGTAGACATTTTAGCTTGAAAGCGCGAGACTTGGTATCCGCGACGATCGAGGAATCTGATAGACGCACAATCTGGGCTTGTACCCAATTGAAATTATTGCCGAAATATGCAGGGTATTACGTGAAGGCCTTGATAAGATGTACGTAGTTAAAGTCAGATCAAGCTTTCTATATATTGAAGATCACTTTTACCACGAGTACTAAATGTTCTCTGTTTTTTTGTTGATGTCTTTTTTATGGATTAATGGTGTGATTGTTGTGATTTTTGTGAGTCGTACTTTAACAAAGCGCCCGTGAGCACCTCGCTGGGTTGAATTGTCGGTGCTATATAAATGAATTAATTATTATTATTATTATTATTACCTACCATGGTAAATATGCATGACATGTCATGGTTGTCAGTTTCTATTACAATGACAAGATAATTATCTACATGTCTGACAGGTCTATATCATAAACAAAACAGAATTTGATACACGACAATAACTTCTCTTATAAATAGACCAAAATATAAAATAAAACTAAACTGTCTTTCACCGTTTTGTACATTCTTCGTTGACAGCTTAATGGATAGCAAAAATGTTCGGGATGCTTAATTTGTAAGATTAAGATGACTGGCCAGGGCCCTGTTTCTGGAAATCTTAACTAAAGATAAAATCCAAATGTTAGTAGATACTTCAATTTTGATTGGCTAAGCACTAAAATCAATCTAATATTATCCAATTAAATTACTAAAATATGGATTTTATCTTTGTTAAAATTTCGTGAAACAGGCCCCTGATCTTTTCACGTCCACTTTCACAATAATGATATCGTAGACCGATATGATGGCATTAAACCAAACCAATGCTTCTTCTAACATTTCATGTCATAATCCAGGAAGCCAGTCAACATTTCAGTGATGGATCAAATATCACAATTCCATGCCAACGAATTCATGAATACTAAATAACAAAAATTCTAACCGAGTTATCATCTTGTTTATCAAGATGAAAATACTCGGGTCCAGGTCAAATCAGAATAATATTCTACCCTTCAGTTGTTTAAGTCTTTGTGCGTCATTATAATCCCACATTGAAATGTCGTCGTATATTGTCATCGCCCCCATTCGTCCGCCTGCCCGTGGACACCCTAGAAAGAGATGGGGTTTAATGTCCACTCGACACAAACTAGGTCATTTCGGGACTAACATATGGTTTAATTTGTTTTTCAATAATTATTATCCATGATATTAATTGTTGTGTATACTAACAGAACTAGATGCACAATGGGTTGTTCTTGTAACGTGACCTCGTGGGTTTTCTCCGGGTCCTCCGGTTTCCTCCCAGTTGTACGTGACAAGGTCGCCTGTCCAACCAAGTGGGTTTTCTCCGGGTCCTCCGGTTTCCTCCCATTGCTAAATATCCCTACGCGCAAGCGAATTATTGAAATAAAATTGAACCATTATGCTAGTCCCGAAATGACCTAGTTTGTATCGAGTGGACATTAAACCCCATTTCTCTCTCTCTGTTACTCGTAATCAGGTGTTAGTGTGTTGTAAATGTTTTCATTGCCCGGACGATTGAGCTGCTGTGGGCGTATGTTTCTTATCTGGCTTAATCCACGCTAAACTTGATTTTTTAACAGTTATTTTTAAGAAATCAAAATCAAAATAACAACGGAATATGCTCTCCCGGTTTGAATTCAATCGGTTTAAAAAGAATCCCATTAAAAGACTTCAGGAAGAAAGCTAGTAGGCGTTGGCTTGTGTTAACTATACCCTTTATGCCATCTGTAGGTGGGAGAGGGGGGGGGGGTCACGGTGGCTAAGTGGGTAAGACGCTGGCTCGCTAGCCTGGAATTCGGGTGTTCGATCCCTGCATTGGCCGAGAAAGTTTATCCAGATTTTCCGGCGTGGTGATGCAGGGCGACGGGCCTGACAAGGACAGCTGTCTAGTCGTTCGGATGGGACGAAAACCGACGTCCGGTGTACACATTGGCGTCCGCTTAAAAGATCCCTTGACAGTTGGAATTCGATATAAAAGTAGCCGTAGTGCCGCCGTCCGGGCAAAATTTCCCTCGTAGCACACTGTATGGCGTATGCCCGTCTTCATTAGCCCAGTTCGGAGCAGAACAGTAGGATGTTAAACCCTATTTCATTTCATGATGAAACTCTACAATTAATAAAACACCCTATACCATTTCTAATTCGAGGAGATGCGTTATAGCTATGCTCAAGGATCTTGAGCTCGAGTCCCTCCAGACGAGAAGGGCCCAGGCTAGAGCTACCATGATGTACCGGGTAGTTCACAACCTGATAGATATACCACCAACACTTCTCCAACCAGCTGGCTCGATGACCAGAGGTCACACCAACCGTCATGCAGTCTCAAGGCTTACCAAGACTCCTTCTTCCCTGCCGGAATCAGTCTGTGGAACAAACTGCCAACCAATACTGTGGATGCCGATACCCTGGATATCTTTAAGTCCAGGATCGGAACGTTCCAGCCCTAGGCAACCATGCCTGTTTTTAGCCTGTTTTTAGAAATGTGAACTCGCCACAACACGATTTTAACCTTTTAGCCATGTGCGAATATGTTCAAAACAGAACCCGGCACATTATTGGAAGTAGAAGAGATGTAAAATATCTAAATTCAAGGAACATCGTTTAGTCGCTCGGATGGCACGGAAAACCGTGGATCCGTGTAATGTTGGCGTGGGGGTAAAATGGTCTTGACAGTTAGAATTTAAAGTATGCCCGTCTTCATTAGCCCGAAACTTCGTGCACTATTTGACATGCATGTAAAAGGGTAGGCCGTAGTGCCGTTATCCGGACAGGAAGTCCCTCATAGCACACTGTATGACGTATGCCCGTCTTCATTAGCCAAGTCGGTGCAGAGTAGCAGGACGTTAAACCACATTTCACGAAGTTAAAATACCTTGCCACATACATTAATAAAATATTACCAATAATTTTAAATGTAATATAGTAATATAATATTATGATATAAAAATATGAAGGCTATTTCCTGCGTTCTATATATTATTATACCTGACACGTGAAATGATTTATTGAATTGTCTCCCATCAGTTTAAAGGTCAACTTCACATCATGTCGTATTATAATTCATCAAATATAAAACATGATTGTTGGTGGGTCGTTACCCTGGGAGTATATTCTGAGAGACAGAGAGAGAGAGAGAGAGAGAGAGAGAAGAGAGAGGGAGAGATTAACGTCCACTCGGGACCCTACTTCTTGTCACCTACAAGACAAGGCAAGATGGGAGTATATTCTAAAACGTAGTCTCTCTTTCTCTCTCCATCTCAGCGGCTAAGAGAGAGAGAGAGAGAGAGAGGGGTTAACGTCCACTCGGGACTAACATATTCTTTAGCAGTGGGAGAAAACCGGAGGACCAGGGGAAAACCCACGTGGTATGGACAGGCGACCTTACTTCTTGTCACGTACAACCGGCGAATCGAAACCACGCCAGTTGACTCAGTGAATGGCAAACCTTATGATGCAGCGTGCACATTGGCGTGCTCGTAAAAGATCCTTTGACAATTGGAATTCGATATAAGAGTAGACCGTAGCACACGGTATGGCGTATGCCCGTCTTCATTAGCCCAGTCAGAGCAGAACAGTAGGACGTTATTTAAACCCCATTTCATTTCATTTCATTTTTTTCTCTCTCTTTCCCGCTCTCCATTCCCTGCCGATACCTGTACTCTTGAGACATGTAGCTTTATAAATCGACACTTTGCGTGTCCAATCTAAATTAATAACAGTTTTTATTAACATAGAAAATACAGAAAACATTACCCCCCAACTAAAGATGCTATTCTTGTCTAGGAAATAAAGTTGGAACCTTTAAATAACAGTTGAATGACGCCATCAAAAAGTTTATAATGTCATTCACTCTCTGCAAATTAATCTAGCGCCTGTCACATGTCGACATTATCGGAACTCAAAACTAATGAATCGTTTATTAATAGCATTTTTTTTCTGGTTGCTGTTTTTCAAATTTGTGAATTATTTCAATAAAGATGTCCACCCACAAGATAGTAATTTATTTTCTGCATTTAGAAGACAAAATTGAGTTGAATTTAATACGTTGATAACACATATGTTCAATATCAATTTTCTTTGCGTTTTATTTTTGAGGAAAAAAAGTATTTTTTCAGTTGCCGATGCATCAACAAATCTGTAGATATATTTCTGGAAATGCCTGTCCTCCCACGTTTCATTAAAAATAATCTGTTTAATGTGTTTTTTTATACACTCACATTCAAAAGTGGGCGTATATCTTGTCGTCGTACATGTTCGCCCGTCCGTCCGTCGCCCACAATTTCTTACAAATACTCTACACACTGCAGTTATTACTCGATCGTTATTAAAAAAAGCGTGGAGAATGATAAACGCCGTTTTGTCGAATCATGTGAACGATCTATGTTATCATATGCATTGCACAGATTGGGTCAAACGAAGAAGCGTATTCCTTATTTAATTCTAGACTTATTGCTCTTGCTCCATTTGTAACTTTTTGTGAATTCTGCAACAACAATTGTCCATCATATTTTAGATTTTTAGACTTCTAGAGTTATTGTCCTTGGTTCTGCTTTATATTTTTCAAAAGAATGCGGCAACCATTATTCCCTTTTATATAATCTATTTTATTTATTTTCTCTTCTAGATTGTTTAAAGCCTATCCTAAATCACAAGATTATTTCGAACATTTTAAAGGCAAGGACCCAGAAAGTTTGAGGAAGAAAACTATGTTACGTGTACACGGTACGACCGTGATACACGCATTAAATAGTATGGTGGAGAACCTAGATGATCCAGAATGTTTGATTGGTCTGTTGGAGAGAAACGCCTTGAGTCATTATCCACGTGGTATCAGAATTCAACATTATCAGGTTTGTTGTCATTGCTTGGTAAAAATTTCAGTTACCATCATTTTTTATTATCCGAATTCAACAATATCAGATTTATTGTAAAACTTCCAACCAGTTGCTTGTTTTATCAGGAACTGGTTCCTTGGTAACCTTATTGTTCGTGGGTCGACGCTGTTCAAAAAAGTCCAAGGCTTTGCCAATGAGAGGAAGATTGACAAGAAACGTGACGTGGTTGGCATTATTGATATGGCGTCTGTAATAATATTATGGCCTTGACTAAAAGTTCTTTTTAGATTTGTAGTCAGGATTCATAGATTCCAATGGTACTACACGTCACAATTTCAAGATGGTCGCGATAACGTCCGAGGGCCAGTTGTTCAAAAGCTCTGTTAACTTATGTACGACTCGTTAATAAGGAGTTGTCCCACTTTCTTCAGTATTTATACGCCCACATTGAAAAGTGGTCGTATATTGTCGTCGCCCCGTCTGTCCGGCGTCCACAATTGCTTGTGGACACTCTACGGATTCAAATTAATATCCGATTGACTTTTCATTTATACACAGTGTTTAAAATCATGAGACGAAGAAGTCTATTGATTTTCAACGATTTCCGGTAATTACTGTCAGAGTTATGGCCCTTGATCACCTTGAAATATCTTGTGGACGCTCTAGAAGCTGGAGTTAATATCCGATTGACTTGAAATGTATACACGGTGTTTTATGTCATGGGATGAAGACGCCTGTTGATTTTCAACGATTTCCGATAATTACAAAGCAATCATACGTAAACACAGATAGATTCATACCTAAAGTATTTGGGATTTTCACCTACTATTTTGGCATTGCTAGTTGAAGATTTATATTTTTTCATGAAATATATTTTAAAATTTATATTTTTTCATGAAATATATTTTAAAATTTATATTTTTTTCAGGAATTATGGATTGTGTTTATAAAGCTTTTAAAGGATGCACTTGGCAGTAAATGTACCCCAGAAACAGTAGCAGCATGGGAGAAAGCCCTCAAGGTCATCAATTCCGTCATTGAAACAGAACTTACAAAACAATCTAATATAAAAGATTAAAAGGTCACAATACACGAATATCTGTTAAACACATTATTGAGAGACAAAACGAGACCAAAGTTAGAATTCCCCAGATGTCTGTAATACAATGACTTGAACATACTTTAGGAATGGTGCTGGTCATATCGAGAATACTGTAATCTGATATTTCAGTAATTTTTTGGGAAAAAAACATTGTTTACGACAATCAACAAAATTTATAAAATATGAGAGATGTTTATTTCACTTTAATTATGCTTATGTCTATTTTTTGAGTAAAGTTTATTATTTAAAATTCTGGGGAAAATATAATAGATTATTCGTAACGAGAACTGCCCCTAGAACAGGACATTTCTCTCTATTGACAATTAGCAACTGAAAATTTGAAGAAAAGGCGGTAAAATTAAAATAATAATGATATATTACAACATATTGTCCTGGAACAAGATGTTGTGAGTGGCTTCATTATACTTGATATCAAACCAAAAATCGTGTACAATACGAAATATAGGATTGACTGTTTTCTAGCAAGGCTCAATGAATTAACTAATCGTAAGGGTCGAGAATCATTCATGTTTAATACCACTGTCATAAAATCATTGATTTTCAAAGATTCATAACTTTAATTTTAAAGTCCCAATATCATGAAAGCCGATCATTTTATTCTGTTTGCTGTATAAAGAGTTGAATTATTTGTAAATAAGATAAACAAGGATTCGGGTAAAATGACCTCTGACCTCTGACCTCTAGTTCACTCACAGTGTCAATTCTGTTGACCAATGAAATTCCTGTTTTAATAGTCCAGATGACTGGAAGGGGTCATTAAACAAGAACCGCTGTAAACGATATATTGTAGATATTAATAGGTGTTGTACTTGTAGATCAATCTGGTTAAAACACAGATCCTATTTCGTTTCGTTTTTTTATAGTTCAAAATTTCGTTTTATTCGTCTGTACTACACTAGGATCTGGAAGAGTTGTTATATAACCTGCGTTCTGGATGGCGTGAGGGATTAGCCAATGAAACCATCTGTTACGGCGACTTATTGGCGTGCGATACACGGAACTGATTGATTAACTAATGTCTGACGTCATAGGTCAAAAACAGTTCGTACGACCTCTGACGCGACCTTTTATTACACCCGGTCAGATCTTCATGTAGTGTAGGCCATCGAAAGTATAAAAAAAAACGAAACGAAATATTGATCTGTATTTTAATCAGCTTGACTTGTAGATTAATATACAATGTTTTAAAACTTTAGTTTAAATGTGTCGTGAAATAATTTATAGATTTATCTCGTTATTTAACCTACTTTGTTTTGTCCTGTTATTAAAGATGCATTTAAACGAATTAAAACACCTTCGAGATTTAAAAATGTAACAATAAAATGGATAATCGAGACTTGATTGTCAAGTAATGTTGCTACGAAAATAAACGAATTACGCTACATTTTACAACACCCAACTTCACTCGGAATAAAGTAATTTGAATGATAAAATGGATAATCGAGACTCGAGTGTCAAGTACTTTTGCTATGGTAATAAACAATAAACGCTGCTTCTTCCAAGACCCATAACTCCTTGCAGAATCAGAATAATGTAATTTGAATATACATTTCCCAATATCTATTTTTGATCTATTGTAGCAAAAATCACCAACTCTTTGTTTAAATCTTACATAATGCATCTTTAAGATTTTTATTAGAGATGTGTCGTACAAAGCATCGCTTTACATTTACTTGTATGGCATACCGCATGGGACAAAAATCTGATACAATTGTGTAAAAATATTTTGTATTTTGTCAGACATTTTAGAGCATACGCTTACATTTAAATTTGTTTTTGAAGTTTGTATATTATGATTAGTTTTTTTTTTGGTAAATAATCTCATGAAAATTTAAACACAAATCACCACGGTGGTTCAATGGTCCAAGAACACGAATCGGATTACTGGAAACGATGGGGCTGTGGCGTATCAACTACATTACCTACGACTTTCCACATGTTCTAATAGTTTTCACCCTTTGTCTATTATGGTAAATCGCCTATCCAACCTCGTGGGTTTTCTCTGGGTCCTCCGGTTTCCCGCCACTGCTAAAGACCCCTACGCCGAGCGAATTATTGAAATAAAATTGAACCATGTGTTAGTCCCGAAATGACATAGTTTGTGTCGAGTGGACGTTAAACCCTCCCCCCCTCTCTCTCTCTCTCTCTCTCTCTCTCTCTCTCTCTGTTATGGTAAAACTCATCGACGCTTACCATTCTGACCAGTTTGTACCATTTTGGTGGAGCCTTCTTGACTTTACAGTCAGTATAAGGAACATTGTACTGGGGTGTATTACCAACATAACATAAACTGTATTCATATTGGCTTATATTGTGATATTATCTGTGTTCAAAATTTAAAAAATATTACGTGCTTTCTGTTCTGTTTTTGTAGCCCGAGTTCCTTGAGCACTATGCCTCATTGTGTCCGTGGGCCCAAATAAAATTAAAGACATATTTCGTGCTTTCTGTTCTATTTTTGTAGCCCCAGTTCTTTGAGCGTTGTGCTTCATTGTATCTGTGGGCCCAAGTGGTCCAGGTTCGACTCTGTGCCCGTGTTAGTTTTTCTGGCGGCATAAACATTGTTATATGATTATCTATTATATGGATCAATTAGCTATAATCTATATGTTAAGACCAGCTCAATTTTCGTCAAGGTCACTGAGATGTAAATAAGGTTAGTGCACGCGAATGTTGTCGAGATTGTAGGTTAGGGTTAGGGTAAGCATTGGGGCTAGGCCCAGGGTTAGGGTTAGGATGGAGATTAGCGCTAGCCCTGTTTACATCTCGTAACCTTCGACCAAACCTGAAGTTTGCCTTATCAAATATATTTATCCGGCACTAGTTCATATGCTTACAATCGACAATACTATATACCGGAAAACAACCTGAAAACAACTGGAAAACAACCGGAAAACACCAGTATAACATGGTGTTTTATAACATGGTGTTTTCCGGTAGTTTCCGGTGTTTTCCGGTATATAGTATAGCCCCTTACAATTGTGTTGTATATTTTTTATATTTGATCGTTAAATCTACAAATGTATGATTTATATATTAGAACACCTAGTACCATTTATCAGTAGATGTGTTCGTGACGTCATGAGTAGGTTTAAGTGTTTTTATTGATTGTTGTACCTTTTTATTGTTTACATTAATCATCATATAAATATATAATTAACCATCAACACCTGGCTTGTTTTATACACGCCCCTTTAACATACTGGTCCAGAGAGTTCATGAAGCTTTCTCAGACTTAAGGAGCTAAATCGCTAATATTTTGGACCTAGAAAATGACACGAATGGGTCGAAGCGCATATAAAAATGTAGTGTGAATGTCTATAAACTGATTTACATTGAATCGTTTCCGTTTTTACTCTAATTTTAAATCAGTTATGTTCGGCGAAATACGCCAGAAGTCTCAATCGTATGACAATCTTTAGCGTCTGGTTATCCCAGTCTACACCGCTAGTATTTATTGGGCATGCTCTCCTGATAAGAAAATAGTGTCACCGTTTGATATGACTCGTGGAATATGTCTAGCCTCGTTCTTCACGTCCCTTGTTACAAATGGCGCTGAAACGCATTAGTAAAATGTTTATTTTGGCTTAAATATTGGATATCAGAAGCCCATTTTGTCTGGGTAAGATCACAACATCAACGTTGATTTAAATTGACAAATAATTCGTGTTTTCATTGTCGAAGACTTTGGATGATATTGAGTTAGAGACTCAGCTACTTTAAGTTAAGAATTTACTCAACATTGTTCGCCTTATTCTAACTTAAATATAGCCCTTTATAAAACTTTTGTTGTTTAAATGTATCAAATACATCAATAAGAAACTATGTGCAAAGTTTTAAATTTCTGGATCAAAGATATTTCCCATAAACAGTGATTAAAAGTTGA